GATTTTGAGCAAGCAATGCTGCTCCTGTGAGCCTTCATTTCCTCATCTGTAAAATGTAAGGGCTTCATGCTATACATAAGAAAAGCAGTCTGCGCTCTACCTGGTGCCTACATGGTAACCATAACAGTTAGGATTTACGAGTTGGCTTTCCACTCAGTGGAATTGTCTGTGGCCCGTGGTCCCTGGCTGGTTGCTTACATTCTGGTTTCTCCAGATCGCCCGACTGGAACAGACCTGGGTGACCCTGAGGCAGCGACACACAGAGGGAGCCATCCTGTACGAGAAGAAACTCAAACCTTTCCTCAAGAGCCTCAATGAGGGCAAAGGTACCTTCCCAACCTTGCACAGGTTTTACTTTACAGGTTCCTCTTAGGCTGGCAAAGACTTTCCCAGTGTGGAAGAGGAGAGTACTTGACTGAGCTCTGTATCAGCGAGTCTCCTTTAGTTATCTGGTAAATGGGTGAGCTTGGTCAGGACTGGGCCAAGCTGCAGGAAGTTCCACTGGGAGAATTGGCAGGGAAGGGTTTGTCCCAGGACCTCAGGTGGGCCCTTTCCCCTCCCACACCTGTTTCTAGAGGGCAGAATGGTGGGGCCCTTGGTGATCTCTGAGCATCTGCTGTCTCCTTCTCTGCAGAAGGCCCTCCGCTGAGCAACACCACATTTCCTCATGTGCTGCCACTCATCACACTGCTGGAGTGTGACTCGGCCCCCGCTGAGGGTCCTGAGCCCTGGGGCAGCACGGAGCATGGCGTGGAGGTGGTGTTAGCCCATCTAGAGGCTGCCCGCACAGTGGCGCACCATGGAGGCTTGTACCACACCAATGCTGAGGTCAAGCTGCAGGGTGAGTTACAGGTTACACCTCGCAGGGGGCAGGAAGAGAGGGGGAAATGGTCACTGATGGGGCCTACTTCACCAGACTTGCTGCTGCTCCCCTTTCTCCAAATGTTTACCCACTTCTCCCCATCCTTCTCTTTCCCATCCTGTCTAGTTTTTCTCATCCTTTTTCTCTTCATTAACTTGTTCCACAAGCAGTTATTAATGACAGGCACTCTGTTGGGGTAGGAGGACATACAGATCATTCAAAGAGCACCTCAGTTGTGTCTTGGCTTCCCTGAGCCTCAGTTTCCTCATCAGTGAAGTGGGCACCTTAGCAGACCTGCTTTACAAGGTTGTCTGCAAAGCACTTTGGCCTGGGTCCCCAGTGCTGAAATAGACCTACCCTGCCTTCAAGGAGTCCCCAGTCTAGTTGGAAGGGAAAACTCCGCCTCATGAAAGGCCCCAAGAGACAAAATTTCAGATAGGCTTTTGCTGCCCAGGGCAATATTTAAGTCATATAATTCACTATAGACAAATTAGAAATTATAGCTGAGCAAACCAAGATTTAAAAAATCCCTCACAATGTCATTACCCAGAGGTGACTGCTGTGAACATTCTGGTGCACATCTTTCTACCTTTTTCAGAAAAAAAAACAAAAAAGTTTTATTGTGAATTAATGTGATAGTTTACATGGGAGAACATTAGTTTTACATTCATCCTATCATATATCATTTCATTGCCATGGTTACAATCCCCTCCATGCATCATCAACCAACCAAAGGGTATATCCTTCAAGCTAGCCTCCCCGCTTCTCTCCATCCCCTTCCCTTGGTCCCCAGCTGCTCCATCTCTCCATGTCATAGCCTCTGCCTCCATCTCAGGCATCACTGCTTCTCTGGGTAGGGTCCTGCTCTCTGCTCTTCTGTCTTAATGGTCCCAGGGATCTCCGCTCCTAGACTGCAAAGTTAATTACTCTCCTCCTTGCCACAGAACATCTACCTTTACATTTCCAACTCTCACAATCAGTCCTGATAACAATTTTTCACTACTGTCTCACAAGAGATTTATCTGCATTTCCTTTCATCAGTCCCGCCTAGACAGATTGAATACTACTCACTGGAGATTCTACCTTCCTTCACGCCCTCTGGATCTAGGTTCCCTCTTGAAAGCTTGTAAGCCAGTCACTTCTTGCCTTTGTAGCCCCCCCAATTTGGGTAGCCACTGTCCAAGTTGCCCATCCCTGTCTACTCTGTATATGGAGTTTTTTTTTTTTTTACATTTAATTACAATATTTATATATGTTTTTTAAGGAAAAAAAATCATAGGATAATATAAAAAAGAAAAGAAAAATCACCTAATATCACTGAAAAATTGTTAACATTAATTTATAATCTTCTAGAAGTTTTTAAACTCATGCTGTGGAGCCGTATAATAAGCACTGTAAGATTGGTGGTTCAAACTCACCACCTGCTCCTCAGAAACCCTATACAGGGACACTATAAGTAAGAATTGACTAGATGACTCTTAGCAAGTAGTTTTTAAATGATATGTTCTAAATAGTGTGTCATAGAGAAATGAAACCAAGTCAAATCCTTTGCTATCAAGTCAATCCCAACTCCTAGTGACCCATAGTGACAGTAGAACTGCCTCATAGAATTTTCTAGACTTTACACTTCACGGGAGCAGATTGCCAGGTCTCTTCTCCTGGAGGGGGCTGGTAGGTTCAAACCACCAATCTTTCTGTTAGTGGCTGCGTGCTTAACCTCTGTGCCACCTGGACTTCTCTTGTAGGTCAGAGAGTATGTGCTAACCTACGTGGTTATATTCATTCAACAAACTTTTTAAGAACTCTAACAACTGGGGGATTTCCTGAGAGAATAGGGTGGCTCAGGGCAGGATGAGATGGTCCCCTGACCTCTTTACCTTTTCTCTGCAGGGTTCCAAGCCAGGCCAGAGCTCCTGGAGGTATTCAGCACTGAGTTCCAGATGCGCCTCCTTTGGGGTAGTCAGGGTGCCAGCAACAGCCAGGCCCGGCGCTATGAAAAGTTTGACAAGGTCCTCTCTGCCTTGTCTCACAAACTGGAGCCTGCTGTCCGCTCTAGCGAGCTGTGACCTCCAGGGACCAACCCCCTCTGCAGCTGCGGGCAGCATCAGGAGCAGAGAGGGGCACTGACTTTCACAGCACCCCAGGGACACTGTGATCGGCCCGAGAATGTTGTAGGTCCAACTCCAGGATCTCCCTTCTCCTCCAGGGTCCTGCATGGATGCTGGGCTCTGACTCACCTGTTACAAGCTCACCGAGTATCCCTTCAGGAAGAACTGGAATCCCTGTTCCTCCCACAAGCTTGTGCTTCTCCCCTTCCTGCTGAGGTTCCCTGTCTTTGAACCATGAGAAGCTATTCATGCCTTCTCACACCTCTCCAGGCATCTACTCCCTCTTCCTTACCATCAAGGCCTCCATCTTGCTGTAAATAACTTTCTGTTCTGTAAATAGATGTACAGAGCCATGTTTTCTCTTTCATATAATAAAGTTTTATGACTCTTTCTTCCGTCTCTCAGGGTGGAAAGAAGCACCTTTTCTTATATGAAAAGTAGAAACATTGTCTTTTTTATTTAGCACCTGGGATATTCCAGATTAGGCAGAGAAGCTAAGGTTACAGCCAATACCAAAACCCAGTACCTACCTTCCAGGAACTCACAGATCAATTGGGGAATAAACAGCTAATTCCAATCCAGTGGGAGTGATGCAGACCTGACTCCACATCTAGCCCATTCCCTGCCTTGGGAGACCACAGCACAAATTTCCACAAATCCACTACCAAGAATTTGAGATGGGGGTGGGAGGACTTTGTGAAAACGGAGGAGTGGAGGGAAAAGGGGGAACACTATGTTCTTTCTTCAAAGGTGGGAGCCACTACTGTCTGTCTAGGCTTTTGAAATGTAGCCCCAGAAGTCTGGTGTGTATGTGTATAAGTGGTGAGGTGGACCATTAAGGCAATTGTCCTGTACTCCTCACTCCAGTGGCGGGGGGGGGGGGGTGGGGAACTAGGTAAGATGAATTAGCACAATTCCAGGACAAGCTAGAGGCCTGGGGAACCTGTTCACTGACTTTAAATAAAATCTTAAATGTCCTTTGTTTCTGAACACTTTGACCAAGATAGGCTAGAAAACATACAACCAGACTTGAGTTCAATTCTGTTATTAGCCGAGTGATGATCTGGGATAAGAGTTTTAAACTCTTAAGTCCTCAATTTGCTCAGTAAAATGGGGGCAATAATAGAACATGTATTTCTTAGGGTTGATTTTAAAGCACTTAGCACCAAGCTGCTGCTAGGTAAGGAAGTCATTTTCATACACAATGGATTGGCAATGATCATTTATTGATTACCTTCTGAGTCAAAATACTTTATGTGACTGTATCTCCTTGAAATGGCACCATGCATGACAGGTACTATTATCATAAAGATATAAGACATCTAATGCAAACGGTGGAGTTCCTGGGTGGTGAAAACAGTTAAGGGCTGGAGTACTGAATTACTAGCCAAAAGGTTGGTGGCTTGAACCAACCCAGAGGCACCTGGAAGTCAAACCTGGCGATCTGGTTCCGACAGTCACAGCTTTGAAGACCCTATGAAGTGCAGTTCTATTCTGTACACATGTGTCGCCCTGAGTCGGGACAGGGCTCCACATCAACAACCACGTTAACATTACATAGGTGCTCACTAATGGACTCCCGGTGTGGTGCTGTAGGATCAGCACTGAACTGCGAACCACAAGGTCGTCAGTTCAAACCCACCAGCTGCTCCTTAGAAACCGGATACACGGTCAGGTCATCATATACCTGTCAGGTGCTCACCAGAGCTATTTGTTAGCACTCTTGTCTTGAAGAAGAAGAAAAAAAAGCATGAAAAAGGTGCTTTGGAAAGCATAAGGTGCAGCACACGTTTTTGATATAATTGTTATGTCACCCTTTGTGGTCTTAATCCTTTATTTATTCTTCGGAGTTACTATGCTGGTCACCTAGTTACTGTGGCTATGGAAACGCGGTTCGCCGCCTCTGATTGGACGGTTCACGGGCACCTCTGGAGGCTGTCTTCCGGTCCTACTGCAGGACAAAGGGGCGGGCCTTTAAGAAAGCAGCGGGGACCCGGGAGTTGTAGGCGATAAGGGCGTGGTTGACGTGGGCAGTGCACTCTGGAAGTTGTAGTTTGCGGGAGAGGCGGTTGGCGGCCCCTGACCGAGCTGGGGCTTCACCTGGATGGCGGCTGCGACGCGCGGCTGCTGCTCTTGGGGCTCGTTCCTCGGGTTACTTAGTTTAGTCACGGCGGCGGCAAATGCCTGGGACCTGACTTCACTGCGTTGCAACTTCGGCGACTTCTGCGAGTGCGACTTCCGGCCCGACTTCCAGGGTGAGGAACACGGGTAGTACGAGATTGCCTTGGGGCCGGGGCAGCTGTGGACCCTGAAGGCAGAATCGAGGAGCGGGATCCCCAGACGTCCAGAATTAGGCCTGGCGTCGAGAAACCTGAGAGCCTGAGGCCTGGGGTGAGGGTTGCGGGGTCGTGTATTGGGGTCTGAGCAGAGAGAGCCCGGCCTGGGAGGAGAGAGGGCCTTTGACAGCCTAGCCCTTGTGGGGAAGGAAGTCCTAGGCCTCTACAGAGAGGACTGGCCATCTAGAGAGAGGACTGGCCTAGGCCTCTACAGAGAGGACTGGCCATTCCAGTTGGGAATGGGCGGGGGCCTGGGTCCGACCCTGTAGACAGCAGGAACCCATTTAAGGCCGACTGCAAACAGAACGACCGCCGGATGGGGGCGCTGCCAAGCCAAGCCAGACCTGAAAGTCGTTCTTTCTACAGACAGTTTGTCAAAAACGTTTCAACAGGGATCCCTATACTGGGTTCCCCTTTAAAATCCTCTTCCTTGGTGGGGTGGGGTGCCCTGGACTCTGACGTTGTCCTTCTGTGGCCCTAGGTCTGGAGTGTGATCTGGCCCAGCACCTAGCGGGCCAGCACCTAGCCAAGGCGCTGGTGGTGAAGGCGCTGAAGGCCTTTGTGCGTGACCCAGCCCCGACCAAGCCGCTGGTCCTCTCCCTGCATGGCTGGACGGGCACTGGCAAGTCGTATGTCAGCTCCCTGCTGGCGCACTACCTCTTCCGGGGAGGCCTCCGCAGCCCCCATGTGCATCATTTTTCCCCCGTCATCCACTTTCCCCATCCCAGCCACATTGAGCGCTACAAGGTAGGGTGGATGTGTCACAGGCCAGCACTCTCCCTACTGGGGGGTTACAATTCCTATAGAGTGGGTCCTGAGTCCAGAAGAGGGATGGATGCCTCTTGCTTCAGGCCACATAGCCAGTTGGAGGCTCATCCTGGGCAGGGTTTGGGATCGTGCCACTTGACCTGGCAGGGATTTCTTGCTTTGATTTCTGGAGGGCAGTAATGCTATCTACCTGGCACAGTTTTGAGGGACATGTGATTATGTAATTGCAGACACACATATTGAGCACTTAGATGTGCCAAATAGCCTGTGAATCACTTAGCCCCATTTTGACTCCATAAACCTGATTAGCTCTTACTCTTGGAGGTAGTGGTCACAATGACTTGGATACATTTCAGCTGTCCACACTGTTGGGCAGGCTCACAGAGGAAGAGACTTCTTTTATAGAAAGCACGGGAGGAGTCCTGAACTTGGAAGTGGGAGCCCTGGGTTTGAACCCAGTTCTGTTGGACCAGTTTCACCAACAATCCCATTAAGGGGTTGGTGTTTCCTGGGAGAACATATCTTCTCGTAAAAAGTCAGTTCTTGTCTTGGGAAGAGGTCTGGGGTTGGGGTAAGTGTCTCCAACTCTTCCTAAACTCCTACTTACACCCCGCAGAAGGATCTTAAGAGCTGGGTGCAGGGGAACCTGACTGCCTGTGGTCGCTCACTCTTCCTCTTCGATGAGATGGACAAGCTGCCCCCAGGCCTGATGGAGGTTCTTCGACCTTTCCTGGGTTCCTCCTGGGTCGTGTATGGAACCAACTATCGCAAAGCCATCTTCATCTTCATCAGGTGAGGCCTGGCTTGACAGGGGGCACGGTTGCAGTGGTGGGTACTTCTTAGAAGTCTCAGCTACCTGTTCCTGGCCTATGGTCCCACAGTGGAAATACTGTACCCCCTGCGTCCAGTTTGAACTCTTCACACTTACTGGTTGCATTGCCATTCAGGTGGTTGATGTCCCTTTGACACTTAAATTTTTAAGACAAATATTCTTTTATTTTTGTTAAATTGAACAAATAAGTATTATGCCTTATGCAACCAAACCTTTGCTTATAACTACAATTTAATTGTACATTAACAAAATATAGTGAAAAGACAACTTTGTGAAAGTCTAATTACAATAATAATTTATATCTAAAAAAAGGTGTGAATGGGGCTAATGCATTTTTTTGGTTGTATATTAGTTTATCATGTCAGGCCCAAGTATGACTTCACAGGTGTCCTTCTTGAACGATTATGAGTGGTTTTTAAAGAGCTGTGTACATGTGCCAGGTTGGCAAAGGGTGGACTATGGTTAATGTTGGGTGTCACCTTGTCACACAGTTATGTAATCATGTAGTCACCCTTTATTTTGTGCCCTCCCACAAGTAATATGGAGTCCTGGTGTGGCACTGTAGGGTAAGCACTGGACTGCTAACCAGGTCAGCAGTTCACATCCCCCAGCTGCTCCTTGGAAACCCTATACAGGGTTGCTGTGAGTCGGAATGGATTTCATGGCACTTCACAACAGCACTGAGTAATGTAATCGTCTCTAGGATGTGGCCTCATCAGCCCGTCAGCAGCTGGAAGGGGTGTCCCTTGGTGGTATGCTCTGAACCCAGTATATTTCTGGATGTTCTGGCAGAGCTTGCTCATTTGCTTGCTCTACATCCTGCATGTAGCGTGTTATCATCTGGCCTTTGGTTCTTGGCAGCAGCCTGTTGACCTTTGACCTCCTTAAAGCCCTCTTGGTGGTGGGCTCAATCTTTTTGATCCTCACCACTTCTTTGAGGAAGCCCTGTTGAGTCAGAGTTTTCCCACTTGGTGGTCAAGAGGGCACAGACCTGGGAAAAGCAGGGCAAGAGTTCTAGTCCCAGCTTCAAGAGTCTTCACTTTGTTTCCTCAGGCAGATCACTTCACCTTTCTCTGAGCTTCAATTTGTGCTTCTGAATAGCAAGGCCAATATTGTTGTTAAGTGCCATGGAGTTGGAGCAGCTGGTGGGTTTGAACTGCCAACCTTGTGGTTTGAAGTCCAGTGCTAATCCTGCTGTGCCACACCAGGAGTCCAGGGCCAATATTAATGTACCATAAATATGACAGCCTAGAAACCCTATGGGACGGTTCTACTCTGTCACATGGGGTCACTCTATGAGTCAAAATTGACCACTATACCTAACAACGGAATATATAACATTTCCAAAAAATTAATGAGATATGAAAAACCATAATTTGTATACATTATAAGGCAAACCAAAATGTGAACTTATACAAACACAAATTTTAAAAATATTTTTTTATTCTACTATAAATTAAGGAGCTCTGATAGTGTAATGGATTACAAATGAGCTGGGCTGCTAACCACAAGGTCAGCAGTTTGATTCTATAGTCGCGCCACAGAAGAAAGATGAGGCTTTCTGCTTCCCTAAAGATCTGTAGTCTGGGAAACCTTCTGTCTACAGGCTCGCTATGAGTAAGGACCACGCCATACCCACCTCTGCCACCAGGACACTAATACAGTGGTGTATGTATTTAGAATGCTTTCTTCTTCATCACTTGATAGCACTTAACAATATGTAGAGCCCTGGAGCACAAATGGTCAACCACAGGTTGGCAGTTCAAACCTACGCAGTGGCTCCACAGTCGAAAGACTGCGATTATTGTTGTGTGCTGTGTGAAGCTGTTTCCAATTCAGTGACCCCCTATAGAGTTTCCAAGGCTGTAAATCTTCAGGGGAGCATAAAGCCTCCCTCCTCTTTCTCCCAAGGAGTGGCTGGTGGATTTGAACTGCTTACCTTGCAGTTAGCAACCCAATGTGTAGCCCCCTCTGCCCCAGGTTCAGGTTGTGTTTAGATGGCATCAGAGTAGAGAGGGCCAGATGCTGTGCTTTATGCATTAGTCTGAGTCTCAGCCCAGGTCCCCATGTTTTAGCAACACTGGTGGTGAGCAGATAAACCAGGTGGCGCTGGAGGCATGGCACAGCCGCCGGGACCGGGAGGAGATTGGCTTGCAGGAGCTGGAGCCGGCCATCTCTCGGGCCGTGCTGGACAACCCACACCGTGAGTTCTGCTGTGGAGCCCCACTCCCAGGGGCAGCTTCAGCCAGGCCTGAAGCTTCACCCCCAGACCCATTGGGCCAGGCTCCCCGGGGGGGAGGTCTGATGCTCTGCCCACCAACCAGGTAGTTCACCACCCCAACTTTGGCACTCCTCGCTCTGTAGTCTTTGGCAATTCATGCAACCTCTCTTGAGTCTTAGCCTGGAAAAGTGGCAGAGAGGGTCAGCAACTTACCTCCATGACCTTTTAGAGATGGGGGACCTGGCCTTCTTCCCATTGGTGACATGCGGGACCTTCACCCCGCCCCTCCCTGCAGATGGCTTCTGGCGCTCAGGCATCATGGAGGAGCACCTCCTGGATGCCGTGGTACCCTTCCTCCCGCTCCAGCGGCACCACGTGCGGCACTGTGTGCTCAACGAGCTGGCCCAGCTGGGCTTGGAGCCCCGGGATGAGGTCGTGCAGGCTGTGCTGGAGAGCACTACCTTCTTCCCTGAGGAGGAACAGCTCTTCTCCTCCAATGGCTGCAAGACCGTGGCCTCCCGAATCGCCTTCTTCCTCTAACTGACTGCATCAGGGTGCCATCCTTGCTTTTGCCCACATGGAGACACCCCATGTGGGAACACCCTGGGACCTCGGGCAGAAGGACCCTTGTCCCAAGCCTCCTGGAGAGTAGGACCCAGAGCACAGACAGTGAAGATGAAGAAGTGTGTTGGCTAGGCCACGGCTCAGGGCAGGCCCTGCTCTCAACTGGTTTGAGGGTATCTTGGTTTCTACTGGCTTCCCCTGGCAAACCTCTGGTCACCCCAGGACCTCATTGAGCTTGGACCACCCCGACTAGCCTGAGCCTTCATAAAATGTGAATTCTAACTCAGGGATGGTGGCTGTGGCTACCCCTCCCTCCCAGATTTATTTACCCTTAGTTCATGTATTAGCTTCATACCTGCCCGGAACTCCATAATATTGGACTCGGAAATCCCAGCCAATATTATGGAGTCAGGCTGGGATTTCCGAGTCCTCATGGGTCAAGGACTCAAGCTGCCACTTGGGCCTGGTTTTTAAAGTTTTTAATTTTATAAAAGAAGAGAACAAGGAAAATAAACAGTCTTGGAACCAGAGTAATGAATGTTGGCTGAAGTTTCTACCAGCTTTGCTGAGTGGGTAGGGAACCTCTCTTCCCAGCAGGCAATGTGAGGGCTCAGTGGCCCCTTCAGGGAGCAGTATTCCTAGTGGGGCTGGAGCTCCAGTCAACCTTGGTGTTGCTGGGACTGGGGCTCAGGCCCTGAGTGGGACTTTGGCTTGGTTCTGGGCTCCAGTTCTGGGCAGACTCAGCCTTTTGGAGACTTTGGCTTGAGCCCTGCATGGCCTCAGTCTTACTGAGGCTCTGGCTTGGGCCATGGGCAGCCTTCATCTTGCTGGGTCTTAGGCTTGGTTCTTGGCTCCAGCCTTGGAGACTTTCAGCCTTGTTAAGTCTGTGGTTCCAATGCTGAGCATCTTTGGCCTTACTGGGTCTCTGGGTCTGGCCCTGAACCACCTCATCCTTGCTGGAACATGGGCTTAGTTCCCAATTCTGGTACTGGATGGTACTGTTCTGGTTGGGCCTCTGCCGTCTGCCCTGAGTAATATCTGTTTTACAGGGACCCTGACTTAGGTCACAGAAATCCTTAGTCTTGCTACAACTTCGACTCAATCCCCAGGTCTGGCCATGGGTGGGAAATTTGCTGGGTCCCCACCTCCGGCCATGGGCAGCCCTGACCTTCCTGAGCCTCCGCCTTGGGCCCTGAGTGTCCTTGGTCTGGGTATCCTCAGTCTTGCCAGCCTGCCACCCTGGGCCTTGAGAGTCCTCAGTCTTGCTGGTCCTCTGCCCTGAACTATGGGTGTCCTTGGTCTTGCTGGACCTCCGCCCTGAACCATGGGCGTCCTCGGCCTTGCTGGACCTCCGCCCTGAGCTCTGGGGGTTCTTGGTCTTGCTGACCCTCCACCCTGAGCCCTGGGTATCTTCTGTCTTGCTGGGCCTCTGCCTTGAGCCTTGGGAGTCTTGGGTCTTCCCAAGGCTCCAGCCTTTGCTGTGGCTCTCAGTCAGACGTGTTTTCTTTCCATTGGCCCCAGAGTCTGAGGAGTGAATCTTCAGCATTGAGGAGCTGGAGAATGTCAGGGGAGTGGTGGAAGTGCTCCTGTACTCCTGGCAGGTAGTGGACATTCCTGTCTCCGAGATGGATGTGCCTCTGACTGGGGAGATGTGTCAACAGCACACGTCAGGCCTCTTCCACCAGAGGCCAAGGCCTGTCCTGCTGCTCCTGGACAGCTCCAGGAAAAAGAGGCTTCCAGGCATCGTCCTTGCCTCCTGAGGCTTTGCAGGACACAACCCCTCCCTCCCTAGACAACCTGGGCCTGCAGGTGGGCTTGGGCTATAAGATAGAGGAGCTAACCAAAGGGCCCAGACCCCACCTGCCCAGTCTGTGCTCCAGTCATTGGCTCTGACTCCCTGCCTATAGCAGTTCCCCTTGCCCCACACCCTGTGCCTCCTTTAGCTCCTGGGAGCCCTCCTTGGCCCCCATAAAAGAGGGTCATGTACTCTCAGCTCTTTGGTTTGCCCTCTCACTGTCCTCATATGGGCTGTAATGTGGTGGTCCTTCTACCCGAGTGCTTCCCTCCAACGTAAAGCCTATGCTATCCAGCCTGGAAACCACGGCTGGCCCAGCCTGGCTGCTGGCACTCACGACATTTATGGACTTGCCCTGAATTGAAGGAAGGAGGCCTTGGTACTGCCATTCTGGCCTCCACCATCAAGCGCTCACAGCAGCTCTTGGCTATTTAGAGCAACAGTCCCAAGTTTTATGTTTGTCCATTCTAGGCTGGTCCCTGGCAGAATTAAGGGCAAACCCTCCTTGAATATTCACAGGGTTTATGGGCTTATTTCAGGGAGTCAGGGTGGAGCCAGCAGTCTCAGAGCTTTTGTAGGGGGCTTGGCATCCCAGGCTCTGTGCTGGACACCACCTCACTGAGTCTCTACAGAGCTGAGATTATTACTCATGTGCCCAAGGTCACACAGTATATAGGCAACAGAGGCCAAATTCACACCCAAGTCAGAGCCTCTGACCCCTGACCTTTTCCCACTCTGCTGCTTTGTACTCTGGGAGGAACATGGAGTACTTACAACCCAAAATGGAATCCGAGGAGGTCTGGTCAAAGTAGCCGCTGGACAAGGATGACCCCTTTTCAGGGGGCTGTTTGGGTTCCTCCTCCTGTGGCCAGAAATAGGCTGGGGAGTCATAGCATTGGGGGGTCTCTGGGCTAGCAGCTGCAGCTCTGGAGGGCCCAAAGCCCTGGGACCTTTTAGTAGTAAGTCCTCGAGCTTAGAGTTCCTCAAGGGTTGGATGGGGACATGGAAAGGCTAAGACCACATAGGAAAGGAAATGGCCAGGCTAAACAGGCATGGCTCAGGGGGCTGATTTGGCCTCAGTTTCCCTATTTGCAAAATGAAAATTAGAGTCCCAACCGATTCACCAAGTGTAGGCACATTAACATAACCTGTAAAGTGCTAAGTCTTAGTGAACAGTAAAGAGGCTACCTGGTTACGTGCCTGTCCCCCATTTTATCCAACACACCTGGGTGGGAACTAGCACTATTCCCATTTCACAGATTAGGAAACCAAGGCTCTGAGCACTTATGCAGCTCATACAAAGCTGAGCTAAAAAGCAGAAAACCTGAACTTTGCATCTAGGCACTCCAGGCTTCACAGTCATACTCCTGGCTGCTCGCCTCACACCTGGGGCACTAAAAGAGATGCACAGGAGCTGGAGGGGTGGGTGGGGATCGGTGCTGAGTACTAACATGTGACTAGCCTTCCACTCCATGTTGGGTCCTATCTTCTGGGTCTATTTGCTTCCCCTGAGCATTTCCCAGAGTGAGCGGCCCAGAATGATCTGTGTGTCTATTATAATATAAGCTAGAATAAGGTAGCATATTCCATTCACTTCAAGTATGTAACGTGTTCTTTAGCATACATATACTTGGTATCGTTAGCAGAAATATGGATAAATAAATTGTCACACTTAAGGACTAAGGTTCTCCTGACCCAAGCCATGGTATTTTATATAGGCTCATATGCATGTGAAAGTTGGACAATGAATAAGGAAGACTGTAGAAGAATTGATGCATTTGAGTTATGGTACTGAAGAAGAATATTTAAAGTACCATGGACTGCCAGAAGAACAAACAGATTTGTGTTGGAAAAAGTACAGCCAGAATACTCCTTAGAAGCCAAGATGGCCAGACTTCATCTCTCATACTTTGGACATATTATCAGGAGAGACTAGTCACTGGGGAAGGGGAAGGGCATCAGGCTTGGAAAAGTGGAGAGTTGGTGAAAAAAAGGAAGACCCCCAAAGAGATGGATTGACACAGTGGCAGCAGCAATGGATTCAAATGCAGCAATGATTGTGAAGTTGGCACAGGACCAGGCAGTGTTTCGTTCTATTGTGCATAGGGTCACTCCGAGTCAGAATCATTTGGTCTGGCCCTGCCAAGGCAACTGCAGCTCTAGCTATCACATGATATATAGCAGGCTAATTTTTCAGTTGATAATTTTGTATGGCCCGCAAATGATGTTATAAATATTCAAATGGCCCTTGGCAGAAAAAAGGTTCCCCTACAGTGATAAGAATGAGCAGTCTGCTGCTATAGGTAACAACTTGGATACAACTCACAAACATCATGTTTGTGGACTGAGCAAGAAACCAGAGGGCACACGATTTTGTTCATTTTATGTGAAGAACAACTTGTGTAGAGTTAGTAATTAGCTTTGTGTGGTGGGACAGGGCAGAGAAGTTTGTGGGGGTCTGGGAATGTGCTCTTTCTTGATCTGGATGGAGGTACCATGCCATATAGTTTGTGAAAGTTCATCAGGCTATGCACTTTTCTGGCTTATGTTATATTCAACACAAAGGTTTTAGAAATAAATTTAAGAAGAAAATTCTGGCACAAGTGGCCAGTGCAGAGCAGAACGTGTAGAGGTGAGCATGACTGCAGTGTGGGAAGGCCTTTCTCTGCAAGGGACCCACCATTTCATGCACACACTCCCTCCGCACCAGAGATACCCTGTGTGATGTTTCCATCCCCAGCCCAAGTCACACGTCTGACAAAGGCTCTGCAGAGCTGGGCCTGGAAGCCAGCCTTTTCTTGATTACATCCCTCAGCCCTGGGCTGCAGTGCACTCGGCCCTGGACCTTGAACATATGGCCCACTCACCTTTCCCTTCTCTGGGACCTCAGTTTCTTCCCCTGGGCCTTCCTGCAGAGCCTGGCTGGTAGCCTTTAGCTCTTCAGAGGAAGGCTGCTCCAGCTTCCAAGTATGCTGCAGGGCACGGGCCCTCTGGCGCTCTAATTCCCGCTCCTTGAGCAACCTGCCAAGTCATGGCCCAGAGTGCTGGGTCAGTCTCCCTGACCCATCTCATCAGTGGCCCAAGGAAGCATCTAGGAGCCTTAGTTGTGGCCACTGCCCAAGGAGCTTACCCCATAATGTCTTTTGGGATGCTGAATTGTAGACTTTTCTCCACCGCCTGTTTCAGCTGGAACTTGGCCAGGCAGGCCACCTGGCTGCTAAGCACATCATTTACCGACATGCCCGGGAAGAGGCTGGTCATCAGTGGGAGCAGCTGCCAGGAAAGGGGTAACCCAGAGCCAGGTATAGGCAGGGGGCAACTGGTGTAGTGCTGTCCACTCTCACAGATTCCTATTGACCCTTCTTAAGGCTAAAGAGGGAAGAAGCATTTTGCAAATTGTTTATCAAGGGCTGGGTCCTCTTGCCCCAGAACTAGCAGGAGACCATGGGAAAATTCAGGGAGGAAGCCTTGAAGGTCCAACCTCAGGTTCTGGAGCCAGACAGATGAGGGTTTGACCTGGGCCAATGGAACTGATTTTTTTTCTGAGCCTTATTTTCCTCATCACAGGTAATAATAATAGTATTACCTGACTTTTGGATGGTGAGGAGGGTTAAACAGAGCAATAGGAGTTAAAGTAGTTAGAATAGAACAGGATCTGGGATACAGTAAATGTTCAAGCAACAGTAGTTCTTATAATAATCAGATCAGATTTCTTTTAGAGACAGGAGTCTCTTTAAGTGGACAGGGCTATTGACATTCCTGGCCCTGCAGGAACCCACCTGCCGTTGTTCAGGTTCGAGAAGCAGGACAGTGGCAACGTCCTGGCGGGCCCCAAAAAAGTTCTGCAGCAGCTGTCGGCTCTTGGCCCGCTGTAGGTAGTACCGGGCCTTCTGGGGGCTGTGCTGGATGGCCATGGTGAAGTGGTCTTCTGCCTTGTGGAACTGCCTGCAGAACACAGTGAGCCCCAGGCTGTCATAAATTGGCCCACCTGGAGAGCAATGGCACCCTCCTGGGAGCTGGGGGAAAACCAGGCTGGCCCCTGCAACCCTCTTCTCCATCATAAAAATACCTAAGTTGTGGTTTTATTCTAGCATTTAAGTGTAGACTCCATCAAGTATTTTTATGATCTTGGAGTTGGGAAGGCCTTTTTGAAAAATGTTATAAACTCAGTGACTAAAATTGAAACAAAATAATTTGACTTTAGTCAAATTCCAAGTGATTAACTAGCAATAGGCTAATTTTCCTAGCCTACAAAGACCTCTTACAATGATTTTTTTTTTTAATGGGCAACTCAGTAGCAAAGTGAGCAAAAGATTGGGCTGGCCAGAAACCAAAAGGAAACTTGCTGTCAAGTCGATTTCGACTCAAAGCAACCTTATAGGTCAGGGCAGAACCACCCTATAGGGTTTCCAAGGCTGTAATCTATACAAAGGAGTCCTGGTGTCCTGCTGCAAGATAATGCAGGGTGGCGATTCAAGCTCACCAGCCACTCCTCGGAAAGCCTATACAGGGTTGTTATGAGTCGAAACCGACTTGGTGGCACTTAATAACAGTAACAATCGTTACTGAAGCAAGTTGCCACATCTTTCTCTTGTAGAACAGCTGGTGGGTTCAAACCACTGACCCTCTGGTTAATAGCAGACGTTTCAACTACTGCATCACCAGGGTTACTGGAGCGGGCCATGTTCTTGTTTTGTTGTTAAGTGCTGTCGAATCTGTTCAGACTCAGCACCCCTGTATCAGATTTCCAAGGAGCAACTGGTGAATTTGAACCGCCACCCTTGCTGTTCAAACCAACATTGCAGTTAAAAATAAAAAATGCTGAGACCATGCTAACAATTTAAACATGCAAATTAAATCCACTAAAAAGAGTCTTTTTATTTATTTATTTTTGCCTGCTAGGTTAGCAGGAGGAGCTATGGTAGTGTGGTGGATTACCAACTGAGTTGCTAACTGCAGGGTCAGCAGCTGGAATCTATCAGTCACTCTGCAGGAGAAAGATTAGGCTTTCTGCTCCCATAAAGATTCATAGCATCGGAAACGCTATACAGGCTTACTATGAGTCAGAACTGACTCGGTGGCACACAACCACAGCCATTAGGTTGGCAGAGCTGAAAAATATTCATAACACTCCATGTTGGGGAGGTAGTATGTTCTGTTGGTGTCACACTGGCCCTTGTGTGGGGCCAAGGTGACAAATTCACATATAAACTCTAAGTTTCTGTTTCCTTACTGAGAGAAGGCAGGGGTGGAACTGAGACTCTGTCACAGCTGCCAACCTTGGACCCTATCTACAAGGGACCTCCTCCAAGTTCCAGCTGTGGTTAAGTCCTCCTTCTCTCTAATTAAAGGTAAAAGCTTGAAGTCTAAAGATCTGATCTTTAACCACTGAACTAACATTGTAATTGTTCATTCTGATTCTCTGACTCTACATGAATGTGGTAATAAGGTCTTACTTGTATACCTTGCAATAAACTAAGTAAGTTTATGCATGGCAAACCTGAGTGTATCTCTACTCATTTTCTAATATCCTACATAACATTTGGGGAAATTCAGGTTTTCTTCTCTAGGGGAAAATTTATATGAGTTCACTGTTTTTGGAGAACAATTTGATACTCTATTAAAATGTTAATGCTCATTAACCCAACATTACTAGTATAAAAGAATCCTGGTGTTGCGCTGTGGGTTAATGCGCCAGACTGCAAAGCCGTTTGAACTGCAAGGCTGGCAGTTCAAGCTCACCAGCTGCTCCTTGGAAACCCTATACAGGGTCGCTATAAGTTGGGATCGACTCATTGGCACTTAACAACTAGTATGAATGCATGAGAATCCATGTCCTGGATGACCATTACAGCATTATTTATAATTAAAAACAAAGTGGAAACAGCTTAAATAACCATTAATAGATGATTGTCTATAAAGAAATCATTCAAACACAGAATGCAAAAAATAAAATGTAGCCCTATGTGCAATGCTCTGGAAAGTTAAGTAAAGTAGAATTGAGCATGATCCCACTTTTGTAAAATGATAGTAATTGTGCCTGTTGCTATGTTCTTGATGGACCCAAGACTTAAAATGCTAGAATGAAATCACAACTTAAGTATTTTTTTAATGTTCTTGGAGTTGGAAACTCAGCAACTTGTTAATATATGCATAAGGAAAACACTGGAAGAATCTTTATGAAACTTATGTCGAGATGGGGGTCTGAGGTAGCTATAAGAAACTTCCAGGTTTCAAATCTTATATTGTTGAACATTTACATTTTTTATAAAAAACACTCATTGCTATAATCATCAGGAAAAACATGAAAGATTTTTACTAAACTTGGATAATAAAATCGATATTTACTACACACAATTGGGAAGGCAGGGAGGCATCTTGACCCAAGGACACCAGCTGAGGTCCTCTTGCTGGGTCAGCCCCATCTCCTCTCGGCTCCGCCCACTTCAGAGAGGGAAGGGGAGGCCCTGTGCCACTGGCACCGCCCCTCCTTTCAATCCCCGCCCACTTCAGGGAGGGAAGGGGAGGCCCTGTGGCACTGACACCGCCCCTCCCTTCAATCCCCGCCCACTTCAGGGAGGGAAGGGGAGGCCCTGCCACACCTGCGCTTCTGCTCGCAGCAGCCCATCTTTTCGTGCAGCATGCCCATACGCAGGTTGGCGCCCTGGTCGTGTGGGCTCAGCGCCAGCGCCTGCTGATAATCCGCCTCAGCAAAGGCCAGATTGCCCAGCTGGAAGAAGCAATCTGGGGCCCAAGGACAGAGACTGAGTGGACCCCCAATTCCCAGTGCTCAGGAAGCCCAGCTCACTCCCAGGGAGGGTGGTGCAGGATCTGAGACTGGTGGCTGATAACACCCACGGGCAGCCGCAGATCCTCCAGTTTTCAGTACATCTGGGCACCTTTTTCCACCTGTCCACTTCTGAGCATTTTGCACAAACTGTGGCCAGTCTATGTAATGTCCAAAGGAGATGCTAAGTCTATACATGTTTTCTCTTTCCTTTCTCTCTTCCTTCTTCCCTCTCTCCTTCCCAACCTCCTTCCTTTCTTCCTGTCATCCTTCCAACTTCTGACAACACATCTGGGAACCCAAGCCCAACTCCAAGCACCTCAGCATTAAAGCAGTTATCACCCCAGGGGAAGGAGGGTATCGCCAAGAGGCCCAGCCTTAGCCAACACTTGGAGGATGGAACGGGCTAGATTTTGTGAGTTCATGAAAGGGAGCAGTGGAAGGTGAGGCCAGAGGGAGAGTTAGATCCAAGAGCCAAGCCTGGGCCTTACTGAAGGGAGCCAGCCCCCACTCACCACCGCGGTTGATGTAGAGGCCCTTCTCCCCCTGTTCATCCTTCAGGGCTTTGTTGAGCAGCAGGAGGCTCTCCTGGTAGGCACCGTGTATGTAGCAGTGCACCGCAAAGTCATTGTAGGCCAGCAGTAGCTGGCGCTGCACCTGCCGTACCAAGTCCTCCTGGTCCTCAGGCACCATGTCCAGTGCCTTCAGGAAGTCCTCCACAGCACCATCAAACTCCCGGAGCCGGCGATACACGGTGCCCCTGAGGGCATGGTGAGTGAGGGATGGGATGGCTTAGGGGGGTGTGGGTAGTCACTTCCTGCTTGGGCTCAGTCTCTCCTTCTGATCCATAGTGAGGGTGCCTGCCTTGTGTATTAGCCTTGGCCTGTGGGACTGGCCCTGGCTTGGTGCTCAGAGAATCCACTATCACTTGTACTTTTACATCTCTCAAGATAACCTTCCTATTTCTTTCTGGAAGCCATGTGTGTCCCCACCTCTAAGCTAAGACCTTTAGATACATGGGCAGACATTTTACCCTCACTGTTTAGATGAAGCAGAACGATGGACATGTCAGAAACCCTTAGGGAGCAGTTCTTCTCTGTCCTATAGGGTGGCTATGAATCAGAACTGACTTCATTGCAGTGCGTTAGGTTTACATGAGAAATCCCAGTCTCCAAGAGGTTAAAGTGCTCCAAATTGCACAGTGAGACCCTGGAAAGTCTGGGACTTTAAGCCCAAGCCGTCCACTAAATTGGACTGATCCTTCCAGGGGCTCCACAGGCCTGGAGTATAGATTCCTGCTGCCTGCCCCTCCTCCATAATAGTAGGAGAGAACACCTCCCAAGACGTCTCAACTCCTGCGGTAAGTTATTGCTGTTGTTAAGTGCCACCAAGTTGGTTCATACCCATAACGACCCTGTATAAGGTTCTGAGGAGCGGCTGGTGAGCTTGAACTGCCTGGTCAAGTCAGTTTAAAACTACTTTGCAGTTCAGCACAGGATTATATGAGGTCATCTGGGGAACTGAAACCCCAGGGAAGGTCAGAAATTCTCCTGAGACCACACAGCAAGTCTGTGGCAGGTAGGGCCTGGAACAAATACCAGTCCCCCAAACCCAGTACCGGAAGAGGAAGAAGCTGGGGTCCAGAGGGTTGTTCTCAATGGCACAGTTGATGCGCTGCAGCGCAAGCTGCATGTTGCCCTGTACAGCAAGGATTCCTGCATCTTGGTGCGCCTGGTGGGCCTGGTTCACCATCATCCTCAGCAGTGCCTTGGCCTGTGGGTGCTTGGGCTCCAGCAGCAGGGTGTTGTGCAGGTCCTGGTAGCAGAGACTGGGCTGTAGGGGTGGTATTAGGTGTCGGGCTAAAGAATGTAGGAGGAATGGCTTGGATCCAGGCCTACAGGTGCTTCTTTCCAAGCAGGCTGGCACCATCCCACCCCTCCTCAGTGCTACTACAACACTGTTCCATATTTTCTGCCTCTTGAAGGAGGCAGGAGAGCATCTGGGGAAATCCCACCCCATCAGCTAGTTCTTTTCCAGATGTGAAGTCTGGTGAGCCAGGGTCATTTCTGCCACAGGATGGGATAGCAAATGTCACCTCCTCAGATGTCTCATTGAGGTGGGAGAGGTGTGTAGCCTCCTGACTGGATGGCTGTATCCTCACGATCCCCCACAGAGGGGATCTGGCCCTCATCCCTGAACTTGAAGCACAAGACAAGTCTGACCAGCAACAGACCGAGAAAACATCCCCCAGCAAACACCTTCCCCTGGTGTGCAGGTCAGTCAGTCCGTCATAATCCGTTTTTGGGATCACCCTGTGTCCTGCAAAGTAACTGGATGGAGTACTGACACCAGGTATGATAGAAATCAGGAGTGAGGAGAGGTTGAAAGCTGGGCTTTGGAATCGGCAGACTTGGGTTCAAGGCCAGCACTACTGTGAACTGACTGTGTACTTGGGCCTGTTTCCTTATCTGTAACGAGAACCATGGGTCATACCTACCTCAAGGGGCTACTTTGAGCCCTCAATATGAACACAGGTAGGTGCTTAGGACAATGGGCAGCTAGAGTCACGAGCAAAACCAGGTTGCTGTTGAGTCGATTACAACTCATAGCAACTCTATACGACAGAGTAGAATGGCCTCCTAGGGTTTCTGAGGCTTGAAATCTTTATAGAAAGACTGCCACATCTTTCTCCCACGGAGCAGCTGGTGGGTTTCAACTATTGACCTTTCAGTTAGCAGTTGAGCACTTAACCACTGTGCCACCAGAGTTCCTTGAAGTCACAACAGTCAATATAATTATTGATATTACTAGTCTCATGCCTTTGAAGGAGACTCTGTGTAAGTCACTCCAGAAGCCCAGCATCTGGAGGTGGTACCTGGGTGGATCTTGCTCCTGGGGCCACTCCTATGGGGCAGTGGACCCTCCTCCTGGGATTCAGGATCACAACTCCAGCTGCCCACAAGATGCCCCACCTAGTAAAGTAGTCCACATCTGTTTTTCCCCTCCTGAGTCTCCCAACTATCTAGCTCACAGGCCAAGCCAGGAAGTTGGGTGTTATTCTCAAGTAGTGCTCTTGATGGCTCTCTCTCACTAATGTCCACACCCATTGACTTCTAAAGTACTGTGGACCTTGACTCATTGTTGTTACCTGCATGGACCTCCTCCAGACTGCCCTGCCTGACCCTTCCTGTCTCACTGGACTTCTTGGCTTCCCAGCCTCCTCCCAGACTCCCAGCCTCCTACCTTACCCACCCTGTCTAATTCTCTAGTCTTGGTGTGGTGCTGTGGGTTAATGCGCTGGTCTGCAAAGATGGTTCAAGCTCACCAGCCACTCCTCAGAAACCCTATACAGGGTCTCTATGGGTCGGAATCAACTTGACGGCACTTAACAACAACAACACTGCAGTTGTAAGGTCTTTCTAAAGCCCTCCACTCTAAGGAACACCCTTTCAAGGCGCCTGGGAAGAATTCAGGGGTGCTCAGGTTCATTAGACTTGGCCTTTCCAACCACTAAGCAGACAGCCACTCCTCATTCCTAGCCTGTGCTACCCCCTCTCTCCTCCCCTGGCCCCCAAACCCTTGCCTGCACTGTCTATCCCCATGCCTAGCCCAAGTCTGGCCAGTAGGAAGCATTTGTAAAAACGTTTACTGAGGCATGGAAGGGAGGGCAGGAAAAGGGGGGGAAGAGGGAGGAGGGGGAAGGCGGTGATACAATTGTGGTTCAATCTTTCTTGGTGTAATTATCTGCTCAGGGACACCTCACTGGGCTGTGGTTTTCACAGAGCCCAGCATAGGCCTGACATAGAACCTAAACCATCTGACTGGACACCAAATGGTCAGTCCTGGTTGGGGCCTCCGCCTGGGGCAGGCAGTGCCCCATCACACTGTGGGGATATGACCTCTGGACTGGTGAATGTCCTCATAGCCTCCTGTAATCTCAAGGAGTGCTAGAGGCTTCCAAGCTAGGGTGAGGGTCCCAAGGGTCCCACGCCAGCCCCACACCCTATGCACTACCTTGTGAAAGAAGTTGTAGAGTCTGGCCCGGAGAATGTAGACATCAGCATTGGTCGTAACTTGCTTCAGCTCCTTAGTGACAAGCGTGAGGCAGTCCTGATGCCGTTTGAGGGCCAGGAGACAGGCCATGCTGAGGGTGGAGGATAGAGTGTGCTCACTGTCTGCCTGAGGGTGGGGGGACGAGGGCAGACAGGAAGGGTTTGCTGGGAGAATGAGGGTCAGTAGGGGCATGGCTGGGCACTCACCATCGGTAACGGAAGCAGGGTTTCTGGGGCTGGAGCTCAGAGGCTTGGGAGAAGACATGCAGGGCATCTTCATAGGAACATTGCTCAAACAGACACTGGCCCTGGGAACATGGGTGGCAGTCATTTCAGCCCGGCTACAACCACCAGTTGAAGGACAACATTGTGGAGAAAGGGGATAGAGATGAGGAGACAGAAACAGCCTTTCAAACTTGGGAAGAGACTGGGAGGGACAGAAACAGATGGAGAGAAACAGAGCTGGGGAGAGAATGCAAGAGACAGTGAGTAATCATTCACAGATGATGACAGACACAGAGATACACTGAGGGGGAAATGGGAGATGAGACGTGAGCAGTAGACCCAGAATAAGCTCCATCCAGCTTAGACTGATGCTCTTGGGTACCAAAACCAGTGCTAAGAACCTTGGGCTTCCTCTTTCCCTGGTACAAGCTATTATCCCTATTTAGGACGAAGGATCTGAGGCTCAGAGACATGAAGTGACTTCTTCAAGGTCACACAGGAAGTAGGAGTGCAGGGCTCAGGATCCCTAATGGACAAGATTAAGTGTGGTGAGGCCCCATAGACTTTTTTTTTTTTTTTTTAAATGGAATTGGATAGCTGACATTTAAAAAAGACATCCAAGTTTCCAAGTTGGCAAAATGTGTATGGGGCAATCAAGATGTTGTTGGTGTCTATGGTTTAATATTCTTTTTACTTTGACTTATTAACCTTTTTAGTGCCTAGGGTGTGTAGATATCTGTGCTGTCCAATACAATAGGCACCATCTTCATATGGCTATATGACTTCACAACTAATTTAATTAAAATTAAATATCATTCTAAATGAAGTTCCTCAACCACACTCACCATTTGAAGAGTTCAATAGTTCTATATGGCTAGTGGTTTACCATAAGGAGCCCTGGTGGAACAAAGGTAAAGCACTCAGTTGCTAACTAAAAGGTCAGAGGTTCAAATCCAACAGCTGCTCCTTGTACAAAAGACCTATCTGCTGCCATAAAGATTACAGTCTTGGAAATCCTCTGGGAGCAGTTCTGCTCTGTCCTGAAAGGGCACTATGAGTCAGCCCCGACTCAATGGCACAACAGCAGTGGTTACCCAACTTGATGGCACTTAATAACAACAACAATTCTATGGGACAGTGCAGAGCTCACTTCCATCCTTGCAGAAAGTTCTGTAGGACACCATTGCCAGACTTCATCTAGCCCTGCCAGAAACCAACTCGGTAGGTGGGAGAGGTGGAGAGATGGCTTCACTGCTGGAACACATACAGGGCTAAGGAGATCCCCAGGGAGATCCCCTCCACACACACACGGATACACTGATGGAGAGCCATGAGGTCCAGGTGTGGGGTGGAGGCCTTGAAGGGCCTGGGACAACACCAGGCACCTGTAGATAAAGCACCAAGGTGAGCCGCTCCTGGTACTTGGTGTTCTCTGGCTTGAAGGTATAAGCCCTTCGCAAGTTCTGGGCAGCAGAGGAGAAGTCGCAGAGCTGGATGTAGGCCTCAGCCCGCAAGGCGTAGAAGTCTACCTAAGGGTAAGGGGACACAGGTTGCTACCCCTCCCCAAGACCTGCCCCTCAGAGTAGGCTGAAGAATCCATCTCTCTGAGCTTTGACACCCAGTTACTGTCTGGGACTTGGCACTGGCAGGAGGAAGTGTGCCTGCCAGTCCCTGCCCATTAGTCCCTCCTTACCAAAGTGGAATCCAGGTGGAGGGCGCGGGAGAAGAATAGCACAGCCATCTCCCAGTCCTCTTGTTCTAAGCATGACTGGCCTTGGAAATAGCTGCCAGGGAAGGGGAATACAGGCAGAGGGGCTGACCTTGACTTTGGATGAGTTAGGGAATATGGATGGGGAGGGGAGATTTAGGTGGAGAGGAAGGAGAGATAGGTAGAGATCCAAGGAGAGCAGGCTGGCATTCTTGGAGTTCACCCAAGCCTTTTATTGGCTGAGGTGGAAGAACCCCATTACAGCTGATTTCACTGAGACCTAGGGAGGGAGTATAATTGGCCCAGTGTTGCAAAGCAAGTGAATGGTTGTGCAGGCCAACAACCTGGATTCTGGGGCAAGGTAGTCAGTCACTCACTACTCCCTGACTCTGAGAGGCACTGTTAACCCCTTAGACTCTGGTCTGGATTCATCGAAACTCTGGAATGTCTGGCTGCTCCCAAAGATGTACTTCACGGTATCCCTTGGGATTGGAATCACCCGTGGTCTTATGATATGTTCTGAAGGTTCCGCATCAAGCTTCAGAGCATCCTAAAATCAAGGGGCAGGGAGGCTTGAGTAGCCTTTAGAGACAACCAGTCCCCATCCTTCATACATTCTCCCCAGGTAGTTTATGAGAGACTGGGGTCTAGAACTGACACCAGGCAGGAGATGCCATCTAGGATTTGGTGGCACCATTCCTCTTAGGAATCTCTCTCTTCTCAACCTATCTCTCTCTTCTCAACCCAAGCCTCTTCTGTCCTGCCTATTTCCCTTCCCTACAGCAGTGTGGCGCTGTGGGTTAATGCACCAGACTGCAAAGCCATTTGAACTGCAAGGTCGGTTCAAGCTCATCAGCTGCTCCTCGGAAACCCTATACAGGGTTGCTATGAGTCGGAACCGACTGCATAGCACTTAACAACAACAACATCAAACAGCCAGCTCAGGGCCCTCCTACTCAACACTGACTCTCTCTTCTCCTCCTGGACTTCTGCAGTGCCCACCTCCAACTTGGATACTGCAGTTCAGGCCGGCCCCCAAGCTACAGGCTTGGGGTCCTGCAGCCCCTCAGATATCCCTTACTTCTATCAGACTCATACTAACCACCTTATCCGACTTCTGCCTCAGACTTTCCGACCTTAGTGAAGAACGTCCCCTGCCAGCCGTGGGAACCAGAGACATATATGTCCCCTTAGTCCTGGAGTCCTGTTTGTTCCACTTCCTAAAATCTCTTAGATCCCCTCCTGTTCACTTGTATAATTCCGTCATCTGGGCAATGCCTGCTCCAGCCACCTCTCCTCTCCTGCCCCAACTGTACAGCAGCAAGCGACTTCCTGAATTGCACTGACGCTACTGCCTCTCTAATATTTAAAACCTTCCCTGCGAACTCAGTCTTGGCCTCTTCTGCCCTGACCCCTCTTCCCTTGCTTAGTTTTCTCCTAGTCCATACCTCGCTGGAGTTAGTCATGATATTCCTTCCAGGAGAATCTCGGGGGCTGTACCAGCTTCCTCCCGGCCCCCTGCTCCTCAAGTTGCCCCCACCACAAACGTTGCTAGGCGCCATCTCCAGGACGTCCACAAGCTCCGCCTCTCTAGCCACGCCCCCGGGGATGCAAGAGTTGTTTGAGCAGTTGTTGTTGTTTTTTCACTTGGCTCTCAAAAAAAATTTTGACTCACATTACTCTTACCTGCTACATAGAAATTGTTGTTGTTGTTGTTAAGTGCCATCGAGTCGGTTCCGACCCATAGCGACCCTGTATAGGGTTTCCGAGGGTGTAAATCTTTACGGGAGTAGAAAGCCTCATCTTTCTCCCGCGGAGCAGCTGGTAGTTTCGAACCGCTGACCTTAAGGTTTGCAGCCCGATTCGTAACCACTACGCTACCAGAGCTCCTTCCACAAGCTCCGCCTCTCTAGCCACGCCCCCGGGGATGCAAGAGTTGTTTGAGCAGTTAGGTTAGCTTTATAGATAGGGAGGCTGAGGCCTAAAGGGGTGAAAAAGGACTAGACCATTTTCCACAGATGCAGGGCCATAATGGGGGCCAGGACAAGACTTCCGCCCCCCACGCTAGAAGTTAAACAAGGGCTCTGTGAATCATCTTACAACAAACCCTTCAGGTACACGGTGACGCCGCGCCGTGGAATGCTTAAGGGTGTCCAGACAGAGTCTCTGTCCTGCCACTTCCGCACCTCAGAAACATGGCGGCCACGCAGTCTGCCCAGGATTGGGTGCTGGCGGCCGCCTCTGGGCAGGTCATGACTATGATTGGCTACAGGCTGGATGACGTTAGAGGGCGGGGTCCATCACTAATGGGGGCGGCATGCTGCCGCCAGGCCTCTGGGGCGCTGGGTTGTGGATGAGTAGGACCATGAGCTGGGGCGTTTTGGAACCTCGACCCCCGGGGAAGCGATGGCTGGTGAGTGGAGTCGGGGGCGGTAATGTAGGAGCGCCTGGGGCTCCAGTTCTGACATGGTCTCCCGTGCAAAGTGCCCCAAATTCTTTGTCTCCATTTATTTATATCTGGAAAATGAGTCTAGTACCACTATGGGCTCCAAACTTTTCAGAAACTCTTCTCCTGTATGGGAGCGTCCTGCCCTCCCAGCCCTCCGGGCACGAGTTTCCACTCAGTCTTCTAGAGTCCTTGGGAGGTTTGGGGCCTGTATCCTCGAGTCCCTTCCCCACCCTGGTTCTTGCTCTCAGTTTCTTTACCTTGGGTCCCAAGGAGCGCTGTAAGATCAAGGGGTGGGACGAGAGTTGACAGGCCTCAGTTTCCTCGGTGCCGCCCACAGGTGGCTGGCCTGGGGAACCCCGGACTGCCCGGCACGCGGCACAGTGTGGGTTTGGCAGTGCTGGGGCAGCTGGCGCGGAGGCTCGGTGTGGCGGAGAGCTGGGCACGCGATCGGCGCTGCGCCGCCGACCTCGCCCTGGCTCTGCTGGGGGACGCTCAGGTGGTCCTTCTTCGGCCCCGACGGCTGATGAACGCCAACGGGCGCAGCGTGGCCCGAGCCGGTGAGTGAGGGCACGGGGGTGGGGGTGGGGTGGGAGTGGGGGTGGGGGCGGGTCGCCTCGAGGCTCCAGGGACGTGGGATGGGGCTCTGGGCTGCTGGAGACCTCTAAGTGCTGCGTGGCCTTGAGTACTTGTAGAAAGAGTGGTGCTTATATCTGATCCTCCTTATGAGAGCCCAAAGTGGGGACAAGGACCCGATGGGAACATCCTGAAGTAATTTGGGCCTTTATTTGCCTGTGCTAAGCGGAGCTATTTGGATTGACGGCTGAAGAGGTCTACCTGGTGCATGATGAACTGGACAAACCCCTGGGGAAGCTGGCTCTAAAGCTGGGGGGCAGCGCCAGGTGAGACTCAGAGCCAGTCAGGGTCGGGGGTAAGGGTGGTGACCTCAGTATGGGCAGGGAGGGGTGGAAGGGCGTGAACTAACTGCCTTTCCCCGCTCTCTTGAAGGGGCCACAATGGAGTCCGTTCCTGCATTAGCTGCCTGAACTCCAGTGTGAGTCTGTACCCTTCATCCTGCACTGGGGCTGGTGGGTCAGCTTGGGTCCCCTCAACACTAGAGTTCACCAGCGCTCCCTGTGCCTTCTCCACAGGCAATGCCACGGCTGCGGGTGGGCATCGGGCGCCCAACACACCCTGAGGCTGTACAGGCTCACGTGCTGGGCTACTTCTCCCCAGCTGAGCAGGAGCTGCTGCCTGCAGTGCTGGAACTAGCCACTGACTTGCTCCTGAACCACATCCGTGAACGGAGCCAGGGACAGCCCATGCTGGGTCCCTGACGCCATGGACATGGCTGCCAGCCTGATCACAATGCCCATGTGCTCAAGTCATGTCCACAGAGCTGCCACTGCCAATTTGTGGTATCCACTCTTTATATAACTCTTTTCCTCTGGGCTGCTCCAGGCAGCCTATGGAATAAAGGGGGGCAGTGGCCAAAATGATCCATTTCTGGGGCAAGGGGTTAGTTTTCTCTCACTATCCTACTTGGGATGCAGGAACACTTCAGGAAGACTGAACTTTTTGAGTCTTTTTGACGAACCAAAGCCATGGACCTGTAAGATTAAAGATGGAGGCGTGGAAGCTGTGATCTTCTTAGTTGATCTCACCCTTCCCCTGTCTGTGGAAGAGGGGGACAAGGATCAGCAGGCCCCTTCCCAGGGGATACCTAAGTATTCCTTAGTTAACTGGGGCCTTGCCACACCTTTCTTCAGCCCATATTACAGACAGGGAATTGGAGGTTTGGAATAGTCTAGCCACATCTCCAAGGTTACACAGCTGCAGTGTAGCAGAGCCCTGTTTCAGACCTTGTTGCCCTGGGGCCCCTGGCACTCTTACCTCAGCTCTGCTGCACATGCGAAGTGTCCCCACACGGGTGGTGTGTGAGAGGAGCCTGAGGTCCTGGGGGTTGGGTACAACGTGGGTCCGGCGCGGCACCAGGCCCAGGTCCCCTGGCTGGTAGGGTGTGATGCCAGACAACTGCTGCAGCAGAGGCCCCATCTTAGGCAGTTGGCTGCTGGGTAGGCTGTGGGAAGGGGTCTTTTGTCATCGCTTCCATTTCATAGACTAGGAGACTGAGGCTCTGAGAGGCTTTGAGGAAGTAGGCTTGGCTGGCTGAGGACAGCCCCTGGACATGTCCCATAACTGTTTCCCTTTGCCTCGTTCCCTGTAACTGCCTTCTCCAAGACTATCTGCTTACCTCTTTTTACGTGAGTCTTGGGGATGGGCCTCCCACTGGGGGCTCAGGGCTATGGCTGAGCTGAGCATGACCAGTAAGTGCTGCAGCATCTCTTTGCGCTGCAGGTGGAAGACCACATCAAAATCCCCATCATTCTGCTTTTCTGAGTGCATCTGCCAGAAGGGTCAAGGGTGAGTTTATGGATCCGGCTCAGTGACCCCAATACCCAGTGCCCATTTTCTTAAAGTGCTCCCTGGCTGTGGTGTGATCTCTCAGCATTGGAAGTGCTGAGGCTTGAGGCTTTTGGGGCCCTCAAGAAAGTTATCCAGAAGGGTTTGCCCAGAAACAGAAGAGGATGGACTGGCCAGGACTGTCTCAGTGGAAGAGGGAGCCTGTGACACTGGCCCAGCTTCCTCTGAAAGCTCCAAGGCTGTAGCTTCTGCCCCTGACCAGCATTGTGCTTTCATCATTTCCGCTCACCTGCTGAATGTTCTGTAGGAAGGCGGTGGCCTGGGTCAGGGTCATTTCCAGGCTGGCCCGAAGCTTCTGTTCTTTAGTTAGCTTCTGCTGTAGCTGCTGTATCTTGGCCTGCTGCTGCTCCACCTGCAGGTCCAGCTGCTCTTTTTGGCTCCTGGGTCCGGGATGGGACAGTCAGCAGTCTGACCTCCTCAGGCCCTGTCATTTCAGTGCAGCCCACAGGGGCTGCTATCCAGCCCCAGTCTTCAGACTGACAGATGAGGTCCCTCTTGTGAGGAAAAGGCACTGAGCAGTATCATGTGGCAAACAAGGGCCTGAGCTCAAGCTGGCTGCACCCCCACGGGCCCCACCTCAGTGCCTGGTGGTCTTTCTGCAGTTGTTGGAAGTTGTGCTCCAGGTGGTCCAACAGCTGGCGCAGCTGTGCCACCTCGGCTGTGCCCTGCTGCTGCTGGCGGCACTTCTCAGTCAGCATGAGAATGATCTGAGGGAGGAGCGGAGGCCTTCAGCCAGCCCTGCCTCCCCAGCTCCACACCCCATCATACAGATGCCAGTCATGGCCCATATACGATGAGAGGGACTAACCACTACTGGGCAGAACCCCAAGCTTCCCAGAAAGGAGCTCTAGAGCAAACGAAGCAAAATCAGAGCTGCACCCCCGCATCCTGTATCCCCCACAAAGAGGCCCCTCCTCCTACTGCTGCCTCCCCACACCCATTATTTTCCAGCTAGGAGTCAACCCTCCCAGTAGAGCAGGGTTCCCTCCTGCTTTAGGTGCCGAATGCCCTGCTGCCCACCTTCTGATGACTGCTGATGTGCTTGGCCATGAGCCGCTGGGAGTTCTGCAGCAGCTCCACCTGTTTGCACAGCTTGCCCTGGTGGCCATGAAGCTGCTCGTTGTCCTGTAGCAGCTGCACGCCTTGCTGGGACAGCTTGGACAGCTGCAGGGTCACGGTGTGGTTCTCCTGGATGGCCCGCTTCGTGGTCTCCCACATCTGGTTACTGGCCACCTTGTGGAACTCACTAGCCACCAGGTGTACGCGTTGGATGATCTCCTTTTTCAGTCTGGTTGGGATGGGCAGGAGTCAGGAGGGACTGGGCAGTGTGGGGTACAAATACAGCTCCCCTCACCTGTGCAAACACCTAACAGGCAGGGCCATGGGAGGGAGTGGGGCCTTAGGGGGCATGATTGGTTCACTGTAGACCCTTTTGTACCTTTTGAATTTTGAACCATATCAATGTATCACCTACTAAATATAATTGGAATCACAGAAAATGGCAAAGCAGAATCCAGGTTTTCTGATGCCAGCACGAGGCTGGGGAGCTTATTCATATTCCCCACTCCTCCGTAAATCAGGATTCTGCGGAGCAGTCAGCCAGGTTGGGGAGCTAGACCAGGTCTCCCCCCGCCCTTTAAAAGTCAAGGGAAGCTGAGGTCTGGGATGTACATGGCAGCAGTGATAACAGCCCTGCGGGGCACTGGCCTGCCCACCTGTCCTTGTCCAGCACTGACTTCTTCTCCAGGTTGTACACGTATTCCTTATAGTTGGTTTCCTGTTTCTGCAGCTGGGTCTCCAGTGTTATGAACTTGTCCATGAGCTCATCTTTCTGCAGCCGGAACTCCTCAAGGGCTGCCAGCTTTCCCCCTGCTCGCCACCGGGTACAAGGCCTGGTGATGCCCTTCAGGTCTTTGCCCCTCCTTTAAGGCCTTTGCCCACCTTTATCTGGAATGTCCTCTTGCCCCCATCCACGAATTTTACCAAGCCTCATTCAGATTCAGTGCCTTCCAAGAAGCCTTCCCTGGACCTGTTCCCTTGTGAAAAGCATTCGAACATCTCTGGGCCAGGCACTCAGAATGTCATTTAAGCCTCACAGTCACCTTTGCCAGATGGGTGACCTCAGGCATAACATTTTACCTTTTAAAGGTTCTTCCTCATTTACAGGAGGGGTGATAGTATTTCTGCCTGGCAGGATTGCTGGGACAATTAAGGAAGAGAATATGCAAAGTAGCACATAGCTGTTGTTACTCGAGGTATTATCCCCATTTCCCAGGGGAAAACTGACAATACTTACGGTCACATAGACAGACAGTGGTAGGACTGGAAACTGAGCCCTAAGAGCCAAGTCCCCACTCCCTGCACTGTGGTGTATGCCCCCCAGCCTGGCTCACCGAGAATGGTGTTTTCCGTGGTGAGCTGATCCTTGGTCTCCTGGAACTCGTGGCGCACCTGGGCTAGCTGTGCCTCAAAGGCATCCTTTTCCATCTCCTTGGCCAGCTGCAGGCTTTGGAGCTGCTCATTGAGGTCGGTGATCTCATCCACCCGCTGGTTGAGTGTACGCTTGAGGAAGGTCACGATCTCCTTCTTGTTGTTGGCCAGCTGCTCAAATTCCTGGCGGAACACCTTCTCCTGCACAGCCAGCTCATCCCACTTCCTCTGATACCTGGCAGATGGAGAATAGGTCTCGGGGTCTGCCCTGAAGGGTGGTCCCCAGGGCTGGGCTGGGCATTCCTAGCCTTTCAGTACAGCTGGACACACTCTCCTGGACCTCATCCACACACCATTCAAAGGAGTTTCTGAATCCAGCCTTATCTCCCAGAGGGCCCCCTGGAAACAGCCAAGACTTCATGGAGCCCTCACATGTGCCAGGTGTGCTCAGCACTATGTTCATTATATCCTAGAATGTAGGGTCCTTGAGGACAGCCTTTGTTGTGTTCACAGCTGTGTCCCTAGCACCTAGGCCTGTGCCTGGCACAAAATAGGTGCTCAGTGTGTTCTTTGTTGAATCCTCACAGCAACCTCTCAGGAAGATGCTTAGGTCCATTTTACAGTCAAGAAAACAGGCTCAGAGAAATGAAGGGAACCCCTAGTTAGTAAGTGGCAAAACAAGAACTTGAACCCAAGTCAGTCTGACCCCAAAGCTGAGTTTCTTAACCACAATGCTGACTGCCTCAGTTGGCTGGCTCCACACACCTCTCTAACACTTGCCACTTTCCATTTCCAAGTCTTTGTACCACAGTCCCCTCTGCTGCACCCTCTCCTTACCCTTGGCCACATTTGTGCCATATTTGTGGTCCTCTGTTCAATGACTGTGTCTAGAATGGTCTTGTCCCACTGGGGTCTGATGTGTTTGTTTCTCCTCCAGTTGGCAGATGTGTATGCTCTATTTCTCTCTTCTTGGAACAGATGGTTTGGTAAATGGTGGTGGTTATGTGCTGTGGCGTCGGTTCCGACTCATTGTGACCCTGTACAGGGTTTCTGAGGCTGTAAATCTTTACAGAAAGCCTCATCTTTGTTCCACAGAACAGCTGGTAGTTTCAAACTGCTGACCTTGCAGTTCACAGCCTGATTTGTAACCACTACACTGCCAGAGCTCCTTTTGGTAAATAGTAAGCACCTAATAACTGTTTGCTAAATATATTTCCCAAGTATATTCCATCTGCTCTCTCAACTTGAAGGAAGCTTTATGAATTTGTAAGAACATTGCATAAACAATGTACTGGTTTTCAGTGGAATCACTGATAGATATTTGCTAGATGTTTTATCATTTGTTGGTGGCTACTGCATGCAGCAGGAGTCCTGGTTTGGTGCTGTGGGCTAATGCGTCAGACTGCAGAGTTGTTTGAACTGCAAGGTCGGTGGTTCAAGCTCACCAGCTGCTTCTTGGAAACTCTATACCAGGTCGCTGTGGGTTGGAATTGACTCGACAGCACTTAACAACTGCATGCAGCAAGTCCTGATGTGGCGGTATGGGTTAATGTGCTGGAGTGCAAAGTCAGTTTGAACCTCATGGTTGGCAGTTCAAGTTCACCAGTCGCTCCTCAGAAACCCTATACAGGGTCCCTATGGGTTGGAACCCACACGACAGCACTTAACACTGCATGCAGGGCTCTAGGGCGGGGGTGAATGACCTACTTCGTGGAGTGCAGACATGGTCTGATGCTGTTGCTGAGTCCTTCAGCTCATTTAGGAGGCAGTCTGGCCTGGGGGAGTCAGGAGGCAATGATCTGAACCTGGGAGCAACTGTCCTTTGAACCTCAGTCCCTTCAACTGTGCAGTGGGGATGACATCAGGACCTCTAGTGGGATTGCTATGAGGATGAAGGGCCTACCTGGCACACAGAAGGGGCCCAACAATATTAGCTGTTCTTATCTCCAACATGTGGGGAAGAGCTGCTGTTTGTTACCAAAGGGGTTTGTTCTCCAGTGTTTCCTGTCATTGGGAGGAAACTGAAAATAAAGCAAAATGATGGCTAAGTGGACCTGTATCTAAATGAAGAGTGGAAGGCTCCCTCAAACACGATCACTCCTATCACAAACAAAACTGGGGAGGGGGAAATCAACCTTTCTCATTTACATTTGGAGAAACTGAGGTGACTCCATGTGGAAAAACAGCAGCTCAACAACTGTGTAAGTCGGAGGCAGGTGGCCACTGGAGGTGGGCCAGGAAATCATGATGTGGGCACTGTGGTTCAGGGTGTAAGAGGGACAGGCGGTCCCTTCCTGCCAATTCATCCCACTGATTAAGTTCTGCCCTTTCAAAAAGTGCTTAATCCCATGGGCTGGCAAAAGCAGATGGAGAAGGGGGCTTGCCTGAGTAGGGGTGCTAGTTAGCATATGATTCCAGGACTTTGGGAGCTGAGATGGAATGGGGAATCCAATTTCCATCAAAATCTCAAAGCCTCCTGCTATTACCCACAGGGAAACTGAGGCTAGGGATCAGGGGTCTGGGCACTGCTTGGAAGGTCAGTGGCAGAGACCAACCAGGTCAGAGCACAGAACACCTGGCCAAAGCTGTCCAGCAGCCTCTTCTGAGGGGGTTCCTGACCCCACCAGAGCTAGGCACTATTACAGCAGAATCAGCTCCCCTTTCCTGCCCACCCACCCACCAACCGGGCCAGCCTGTCCTCCAGGTCTTGGATCTGGATATGGTAGAACTCCCGGGTCTCCATGTCGAAAACTGTTTCCATATTGGCTGTGTTGGGGTCCTTCTTTCCCCCTTTCTTCTTGATATCGAGGTCCTTGCCGCCCTTGCTTGCTTTCTTTTTGGGAGCCATGGCTGGTAACAGCCACTGCTGGAGGGCCCCTTTAAGGGGTCAGGTGGTTGCTAAGGAAGTTGAATCTATACATAGCAACAAACTAGGGGAGTGAGACTGGGATTAAAGAGACACTGCCCTTTTTAGCGTGTTCAGTGCCGTCAAGTCGGTTCCAACCCATAGCAACCCTGAACAGGGCTTCCGAGGCTGTAAATCTTTACGGGAGAAGAAAGCCTCTTCTTTCGCCCACAGAGCAGCTGGTAGTTTCTAACTGTTGACCTTGCTGTTCACAGCCGATTTGTAACCACTACGCTACCAGAGCTCCTTCCTCTTTAGCTTAGTGGTTATGAATTGGGCTGCTAACCTCAGGGTCAGCTGTTCCGCGAGAGAAAGATGGGGCATTCTGCTCCCGTAAAGATTTACAGCCTTGGAAACCCTGTGTAGAGTCACTGAGTCGGAACCGACTCCATGGCACATAACAATAACAGCAAACACTCTTTCTGGAGTCCTGATGTGGCGCTGTGGGTTAATGTTCTAGACTGCAAAGTCAGTTTGAACCTCAAGGTCAGCGGTTCAAGCTCACCAGCTGCTCCTTGGAAACCCTGTACAGGGTCACTATGGGTCAGAACTGACTTAACAGTACTTAACAACAACAACAACAACAACAACAACTGTACACTAGTGATCAGACTTTTCCTCCAAGGCAGACACTGCCACAGAAGCCTGACCATGTTTGAGACCTGGATGCTAGGCTCTCTTGGGGACACTCATTTTGACGCTGAGGTAACCTCTCTCCCAAGTGGAAATAAGAGACATGGAGAATATTAATCCAAACCAAAACCCACTGCCATCGAGTCAATTCTGACTCATATTGACCCTGTGTAGGGTTTCCTAGGCTGTAAATCTTTATGGGGGCAGTCAGCCTCATCTTTCTCCTGCAAAGCGGCTGATGAACTGCTGAACATGTGGATAACATCCCAATGCCAAGCCAACAGTGCTTCTTCTGGGGACTGCTGTGGTTGGGAAGTGCCGTTGAGTCAGTTCCAACTCAGAGTGACCCTGTAGAGAGTTTCCAAGGAGCAGCTGGTGAATTGAACCACCAACATTGTGACTCAAACACTTTGCAGTCCAACACATTATCCTGCAGTGCCACACCTGAACTCCTAGGTCTTAGAAATTACTATCCATTCCCTTTGTGCAAATCAGAAGCTGGAGACTCAAGAGAGGTGTGGGGCCTTTGTTCAAGCTACCCTGGGCCAGAAGAAGCCAGTTATCAGGCCCCGGGTTAAAGTACATGACATCTGGCTAATGATGGGGTGATGCCACATTTTTCTGTCTGTTCACCCAAAGCAGGAGTGGGGCAGGTGAGAGTGGGAGAAGGTCCACTGGCCAGATGCCCAGGTTAGCAGCTCTGCTCCAGTATTACCACCTGCTTGTTTACCACTTGCCCAGGTGCTTGCTGGGTGGCTAGGTCCTCATTGAACCTGTTGCCCTAATGCTTGGCTGTACCTCTATCCTGAAAGTCTGTTGAAGAGAGAAGGGGAAGCTCATTATTCAGCAAATGTGGCTTGTTTGAGGGGATGGGGAGGGTGGATGTTCACTGTTGGCCAATGAGACTGATTGGAGCAGTGATTGGTTAAAAGGGGCACTGTCTGTTTCATGCAGTGTGACTTTGGGCCAGTTGTCCAACTTCCCTGAACTATAAAGTGGGTGAATAGCAGTACCTATCCCTCAAAGACTATTCTGTGGACTAAGTGAGACTTTGTCTGTAAAGTTCATGGCATGGTCCAGAGATGCAGTAGATAATAAGTGTTGGCCAATGTGTGGCACTGTGGATCAGCACTAGACTGCGAACCACAAGTTCGGCAGTTCAAATCACCAGCTGCTCCTCGGAAACACTTGACAGGGTAGCTGCCGTGGGAACCAACTCAACGGCACTCAACAACAGCATTGCCATTATCAGACCAAGTAAGTGAAGCTCCAGTCTGCTTCATGGGTTAGACAGGCTCTGGAATTGACCGTGAGCTCTGCCTGGCCTGGGCTGTAGAACAGTGACACTGAGGTCCCTGAGAAGAGATGCCTGGCTCAGTGCCCAACACCTGGGGGCTGGCAGTGGGCTTGCCCTTCAGCCCAAAGGAATGTTCATCGTCTCCCCACCCCACTCCTCTGCCATATCACCACCCCAAGGGGAAAAAGCCACCCCCAACAGGAGTCTAGCTTAGCAAGGGTTCCCCACGGTACCCTGCAGCTGCCCTTCTCCCTCCCATTCTTCTCAACTTCTACCTTCTTTTACCCACCTCAGGGATAGCTCTTAACTCCCAGCCCAGTTGGGCAGTGTGGCCAGCAACTTGCTCAGGCAGCCTGGAAACCATAAATGATGTCAGTTCTGAGACCTGAATTTTGCTAATTTCTCAACACCAGGCTTGCTCCTCAGGGAAGTTGACAGGCTTATTAGTATGGCTAAAGTCATAGGTATGGCCCGAGTGCTCAGCGGACGTCTAGACCTGTCTCCCTGTAGTTGGGACAGGTTGGAGGAATATGCTTTTCTGTGATTGGCTTAGGGATTCTCACCAAAACTTCCTATTCTTGGGCCAGAGGCCATCATGCACCCCAGACACCTCATAACTGCTTCTCAAATCACCTTGTGTGTCCTTTGGGGATTGGTGATGGTGGGCCAAGAGCTGGTGAACTGCTGCTAGACTTAGCAACTCAATTCCTGCCTCTGAGGGTCAGGGAAGGCTGTGTGCATGTGCTCAGCTGCACCAACTCAGGCACAATCAGAACAGGGCAGGGGCTGACTTGAACACATTCCCCAAGCCACACACAGACCCACAACACCAAGGTGAAACCTCACTAGCACAAGGGGTCAAACATTGAGGAAACTCAAAACAATAAGCTCCTCTGTCCAGCGGTGACTCCTAGACACCCAGGCTTAAAGATAACATCACAGTCAACACTGCGAGTCAGGAAACTCTGTCTGCCCAAGACCATGCCCTTTCCAGAAGGATCAGAGAGGGGATCAACAAGCTCCTGGTCCCTGACTAAATGTGGGACAAACCCTGGAAACTACTGAATTGGAATCACAGCCTATAACACCCCCCCACCAACACACACACACACACACACACACACACACAGCTCTACAGAGCCTATGCACTGAGGGAAATAAGCTCCAAAGAATTTTTGTTCAGTCAAGTAACTAAACAAATAAGCAACTGAGCACACTAAAGACAAACATTTTATGTGTCAAAGGGCAGTGTTGAAAAGTAAAATGGCAACCCACAAAATGGGAGAAAACAGTTGCAAACCATATATCTGATGTTGTTAAGTACCGTGGAGTTGGTCCCAACTCATAGTGACCCTGCACAGAATTTCCAAGGCTGTAAAATCTTTACGGGAACAGAACGCCTCATCTTTCTACCATGGAATTGCTGGTAGTTTCGAACTTCTGACCTTGCGGTTAGCAACCCAATTCATAACCACTACGCTACCAGAGCTCCTTATAAGGGATGTATATCCAGAGTTTATTTTTTAAAAAACTAAACTCTTATAACTTTACAACTAATGAATAATGAAATAGTAAATAATTAAAATAATGAATAATCCAATTTTTAAAACAGGCAAAATATGTGAATAGACGTTTCTTTAAAGAAGATATACAAGAGGCCAATAAGTACATGAAAAGATGCTCAACATCTTTACTGATGAGAGAAATGCAAATCAGACTACAATGAAATGCTACTTGACATCACTAGACTAACCGGTTATAATGATAATAAAGACAGATGTTAATAAGTGCTGCCCAGGATATGGAGACACTGGACGCCTCATTGCTGGTGAGGAATGAAATATTGATATATGTTATAAATTGAATAAGTCTTGGGAACATTATACTAAATGCAAAAAGCCATTACAAAGGAATCACATATTATAATTCCATTAGTATGAAGTGGTCAGAAAATGCTTATCTAGATAGACAAAATGTGGGATAATGCACTGAACTGCAAGGTCGGTTTGAACTGCAAGGTCGGCAGTTTAAACTCACCAGCTACTCCTCAGAAACCCTACACAGGGTCCCTATGGGTCAGAACCAACTCAATGGCATGGCACTTAACAACAACATAGAGATAAGTAAATTAGTGATTGCCAAGGGCTGGGAAGAGGGGTGAGAAGGAAAGAGAATAGAGACTATCAGCCAATGGGCATAGGGTCTCTTTTGGGGTTGATGAAATGTTCTAAGATTAGATGGTGGGAGGGTTGCATAACCCTGTGAACATACTAAAAAATAACGAGTCACACACTTTAAATGGGTGAATTTTATGTTATATAAATTATATCCCAATAAAGTTCTTTGAAAGAAAAAAAAAAAAGATAAGAATGGAGGGAGTATGTAGCCTGGACTTGAATCTAATCTTAGTCTCACCCCACCCCTCTCTAACACTAGAACCTTGGGCAGATGGCTTCGTTGCTGTGAAGCTGGGTTTTTCCATTTGAAAACTGGGGGTATTAACAGTGCTGGTTCACAGGGTGGCCATGAGGGTCCTGTGAGAAAGGCAAGCCTGTAAAGACCCCCTCACCACCTCCCACTCAGTGTGAAAAAGCCAGCACTTGGCACCTAATGGGTTCACAACAAATGGTTGTGACATACTCATGACAATGACTTGGCAATTTAAACAAAGAGGTCAAACAAACCAGGTTTTGAAGAACTAAAATAGGTTGGTGCTTTACAAGGGGACTGAGTGGAGGCTTCAGGCTCAGCAATTAGATAAAAGAATTCAGCCCCATTTTCCAGGAGGGCCGACACTCTGGATTCCTGGACGGGAGCCTGCCATACATCCAAATTTTTACAATTAATTAATTATGTTGGTAAGAATACACAAAACAGAACATAGACCAATTCGACCATTTCTACATGTATAATATAGTGGCATGGATTACAGTCTTCGAACTGTGTATGTAACCTTTCTCCCTCCAACTGTTCCTCTCCCATGAACATCAATTTACCACCCCCTAAGTTTTCA